TATATATATATATATATATAATTCAAGTTAGTATTTGTATTTAATGATTGTTATAACTTGGTTATCCATGACTTTGTGGTTATTGAGACGTTGATGTATTTTTAACTGAGAAATGAAATTAAATCACTAATAGAGCATGTATACAGGGATAAAACATTTTTTTTAATATTAGTATTTAAACTTAATTCATGGTTAGTTGTTCGAAATTAGAACTAGATGAATTATTATAAGCTCAAAATTAATAGGAATATAATTTGAGTAATTTTGTGATTTGTTTTTTACTTGAATATGGAATTAAGATGTTTGCAAATGCATGTTGTTAGAAAAAGGTAGTCCTTATATTTCAAGCCACGAGGGAGTGAATTAGATTTCAAAAGCTTTTTAAATCTTTAAAGAATCTTTAATCTTGAAATCATTAATTAAAGATATTTGAATCAATCAACTAAAAAAATGTAAAAAAAAACTAAAATACACAAAGATTTATATCGGTTCAACTCTTACAAAAAGTCTACGTCTAATCTTTCCTCAACAATCTTAATTTAGATAATCTACTAACTAATCAAAATTTGATTTAAAAAATATAATGATACATGATATCTCACCACAGTCAAATCTAATAATAAATTATCATATATTATACAAATTCCTAATGATATTTATTATTTATTTTGAGACAAAATGCATTTATTGTTTTCCACTGACAACACGTTATTTTTCTGACAGGTAAATACATGTTTTTGCTATTTTGTGTCTAGTCTGTGAGGTGTACTGGTAGGAACAACTAATAGTTATATATTGACGCTTGCTTACTTTTATTTTCCTTTCCTTTTCACTTTTCATTTTTGTTTTTGCTATGTCTACTCTTGTTATGCATTTGTTCTAAATTGGAATCTGTAATGCTGAGATTAGTTATGTCTTAAGGGAGAGTGAGAATGAAAAACAAAAATTCCTTTACAGAAATAAATAAAATTTTACTGTTGTGTGGCTTTTGTTTATACTTTGTACGAAAGATCACCAAGATGGAATGTGGAGATATGTTGACATCAAATAGGACATTCGCGCTAAGAAAAGCTAACAGGATGCAGAAGGAATACACTACTAAGGAGCTTTATAGAGAAATGAAGTCATGTGTAATTTTTTCATGTTTTTGTCTTTTATTAGGAGGGTCAAATAGTTATAGATTTACATGTTTTAAGATAATCTATTAAAAAAAATTATATATTATGTAAGGAGATAAAGATAAACAAGAAAAAACTTGAATGAGTATCTTGCTTTAGTAAGACAGAGGACACCATGGTAACAAATCTTTTTCTATTTTTCCTTTTTTTTATATGGGTTGAGAAAACCTTATTATCTCTATTAAATATATTTATTCGTTAATTCTTTTGACGTCATCTTGACTTCATGCACTAGTGCAGTAAGGGGAAACGACACCAGTTATTTTCGTCTATAGGCAGCGGTTCTTGAATCGAGGCATATACAGACGAGGCAAAAAGTCCACACCTTTATGCCTCGGTTGTGAACCGAGGTAAAAAGTTGGAGGATTTCGCCTCGGTTCATAGGAAACCGATATAGTACATTTTTCGTTTTTTTATTTATTTTTTTTCGCAAAACTTTATGCCTCGATTTCTTCCGAACCGAGGCAGTATACTGTTGTTCTCAAAATAAGTGTATCATATTATCATCATTTTTCACTATCATCATATCCGATAGTATTCGTGCATCACAGCTTGAAACCCATGACAAAATTTCAAAGTAAAAAAGAAATTAAAGCATCATATGCAGGAGACCATAATCGACTTTCTTCCATGAACACTTTCTTCCATTCTTCTTTTCTTCTTTCTTTTCCATTAACAAGACATGAGGAACTTTAGTCAAATAAGTCTCTGCTCATCTTGCCCTTCGTTTATCACATTTTCTATCACAATTACTTTTCCTCTTTTGCCTTTAACAAAAATAGCTTCTCTGCAATTTTCTAATATCTTCTTACAATTTTTGTCACTCCAATCATGCAGAATCCACTTCAAAAAGATTTATAAATTTGTTAATAACATGAATCGAATAGTAAATTCATATTCTATTTTATAAAAAAAAAGTTCCAGTAAAGAAAGAAGTTTAGGAAACATTCGTTTATAGATGCCTACCTTGAGTAGAACTACATCAGCCTTGGGAATAGATTCGAACATGTCACCACCAACATATCTCAAACTGTTGGTTCCCGACAACTTCACAACCTTAGAGCAAACATTGAATCTTTAAGCGAATTTTGTTCAACTTTAAACCTGGAATTAAAGCAGAGAAACATCACAATCGAGACTTCAAGCATGTTGAGACAAAAAGGAAACTTGTTCTTGGACTCCATAAATACAAGGTATAAAGATATAGATTAAGCTCTCCAGATATTCCACAACCATAATCGGCAAAAAGAGAAAAACTAAAAAGTAAAGACACCAACTTTCCCACAATTTCGCAGCATCCAAAGCAGAAGAAGCTTCAATATAATCCATCTAACAAAGAGCAATGATAGTGACTATCATAAAGAGACCAAATTGAAAAACCCCTTTTAGCAACATCAGAACCGAAACCCCCACACTGTAGAGAAATCATAACCACCATACTGAAGAGAAATCATAACCATCACAATGCAGAGAAACCCACAAAATACCTGAAAAGGGGTCAGAAAACCCTAGAGACGTGGCAAAGGGCGGTGGGGCGGAGGGCAATTTGGGGACAACAATTCGGTCCTTCAGCACCTAAAACCAAATGGGTAGGCAAAGGGCGGAGGGCGGTGGTGACGCAACAGCAAGGGCAGTGGAGGCGCGGCGAGAAATGAGTGAATGAGTAGTGGTGGAGGCACAGCAAGGGCGGGGAGCAGTGGTAGAGAACGCGAGCAGTGGTGGAGAACGTACGCAAGCAGCAACCACGACGATGAAGGCGCGACGAACGTGGCGGTGGAGACGCGATGAAGGAGGCGCGAGCAGTGGTGGAGGCTGAGCAGTGGTGGTGGAGAGAAAAGTGCAAAGAAGAAGAAAACTGGTCGCAAAATGTTAAAAATCCTAGAAAGAAGTACTACTTCGGTTCTTTGTGAACCCGATGCCTAAAGGTTAAGTATTTAAAATATTTGTCAGGAAGATGGGTATATGTCTCGGTTCCCCAGGCAAACCGAGGCAGTAGCACCCTGACAAAAAAGGTTTGATATAAAAGATCAAAATTAAGTCAAATCTGGAGGGTTATACGTTTCGGGTGGTTATTTAACCGAGGTAATAAAGCTGTTATGCCTCGGTTCCACTTGAACCGAGGCCTATAAGTTTGCTAAAATTGCAAAAATGCCACTACGTTTTCATATGTTTCGGTTTTCTACAAACCGAAGCGTATTAGCCGCATTAGTATCCCAATGGATGGGCAAGCTTCTATTATAATATGAATATATTAACCTTTAATTAAAATTGTAAGGAATGATCATAATAGTTAATTATAAAATGTTAATAAATTCTTAAAATTGTTGAAATTTGATAGCCCTTGATATTGTAATTGTGAATTTGCAACAGATCATGACAATATATATATATATATGGCTTAATACCTTTTTTGGTCCCTCTTTAGGGGGACAATGTTCAAGTCCTTCCTACCTTTTTTTAAAAGTTCAATATGGTCCCAAGTTGTGAAAAAAGTGTACAATTAAATTCTTTTTGGTCACGGCGTTAAATATTTAACGATCCAGCTGACAACGTAGAGTGATGTGTGCAACGTGGCTGTTTAGGTTCACAACGTGGCTGCATAAGGGGTAAACATGTAATTTTCATTAAAGTTGACGTGGCAGTGGTAAAAAAAATTGTGAGTTAGGATTTGGGTTACAGAAATCGCGATTTGAGATTAAACATTTTGGAAGAGCTATCTTCCAAATTGGGTGATCTTGAAGCTGAAATCTGCACAGCAAATTGAAGTCCTCAAATCACTGGCTCGAAAGCCACGTCTCTGATTTCCGACACCCACAAGCGAACTCAGGCGCTGCCTTCTTGTTTGGCAGCTGCATCCCTGAGAAAGCTCTGCATCCACCTCAATTCGTTCTTCAAATTTTCCACCTGCCCTCTTACCCCTGCTAGCTGTGAAACCGCCACCGCTGCTTGCTCCACCAATAGCTCCGTCAACTTTACTTTATTGAAATTCAATCTACCATATTATTATGCAGTATGCATTTTTCAAAAATAAATATCAGAAGAATATATAGTTTTACAGGAATAAAATTGATTTTTTAGATAAATCTTGTCAAATCTATGCCGGATAGAGAAGATGGAATTAACCTCCTGCAAATCCACTCCTTTTTTTTTTCTTTTTAAATGTCTTCAAGTGAACACAAATAAAATAAAAAATCTATTTATGCAAACAATCGTAAATAGTAAATTCTTTCAAAGTGAACACATAGTTGTTTAAGATATATGTATTAGGTATCACACTAATTGCATAAGAACTCATCATTTAAAGTAAAAATAAATATCATAATACAAAAGATCAATCTCTAGACTTATATATATATATATATATATATATATATATATATATATATATATATATATATATATATATATATATATATATATATATATATATATATATATATATATATATATATATATATATATATATATATATATATATATATATATACATATTTCTCACAGAATCATCTTAGATTTTTATTTATTTATTATTTTTGTCATTAAATGCATACAAATTGCAATTGTAATACAAATCTCAATGACCACCTCGGAATCAACAGTTTCAGTTATTGGGAGAATGGAAGAGTTGTGGTCAGCTCTAGGAACCAAAAGCAGCAGCCAAAGTGGAGTGATCCTTAAGATGTTCCTGATCAAAATAGCCAACCAAATATTATCAAACCTGGTTCTTGTGATCCTCAGAATGTGGAGAACAAAGCCACCACCCCATGCTGCAGAGAGAAGTCCAACATTATCAATTGACATCAAGAGAGCAAAAAAGGTTCCTTCAATGCCTGAGGGACACAGCTTTGAGCTAAGCACAAGCATAGGCATCCACTTTAGCCTGTTAGTCATTTGGGCTATGCTTTCAAAAATCACGACAAACACATAATCTGCTATGCCAAACTTCAGGTTCCATCTCAATACCAGAACCAGATCAAGCATCCCTGACAGACCATATATCAACTGAGTCCAGAACAACAAGTTCCTGAATGCATATTCCTTCAGAGCATATTGATATAGGATTGCACCTAAAAGTGACCCCATTGAACTAATTGAAAATATAAAACCAACACTCTCCTGTGTAACATAAATATTAATTCATCACATTTAGTTTCTTCAAAAACTTCACTGACAAAAACAGCTTCTATCAGATTTGTTTTTTATCCAACCACAACATTGATGAATGAGGAAGGAAAGGAACAATGTATTTGCGAAAGAGAAGGAGAATGATGTTGGGATTAAGGTGGAGTATGTTCGTAACGGTGACGTTCACTGTTTTTGTGTTGTGGTTTGGAACATTGCACGTCCAAGCCTCTAATTTTGTTTTGGCCTTCGTTCAAAACGCCATCTTCTCCGACAGAATCACCGTTTTCTCCAAATCCTATTGCCCGTGCGTTCCTTCTAATATCTCCCTTTTCCTTTTATCCCATATCACTCCCCTTTTCCTTCATTCCGTTTGATGCAATATTGTCTCAATAATTAGGGTTTGCTACTCTGTTTTTTGTTTGTACCTATTGCTTGCGCGCCAAACGCATACTTGCTGAATTAAATGAGAAACCGTGTCGGAAATCAGAGACGTGGCTTTCGAGCGAGTGATTTGCGGAATTTAATTTGATGTGCAGATTTCAGCTTCAAGATCACCCAATTTGAAAGACAGCTCGTCCAAAATGTTTAACCCCAAATCGCGATTTCTGCAACCCAAACCCTAACTCACAATTTTTTTACACTGCCAAGTCAATTTTAATGAAAATCACATGTTTACCCCTTATGCAACCACGTTGTGAACCAAAACAGCCACATTGCACACATCACTCCACGATGTAAGCTGGATCGTTAAATATTTATGACAAAAAAGGATTTAATTGTACACTTTTTTCACAACTTGGGACCACATTTAACTTTTTAAGAAGGTTTAATAGCCAATTTAGTCCCCACTTTGGTTGAAAAATCTCAATTTAGTCCCTCGTTATAAAAATGTTTTAAATTAGTCCTAACTTTTAAAATAGTGGGTCAGATGGGTCCCTTTCGTTAAATATAAGTTAACGAAATTAATGGATGATGATGTGACACAGCTTAAAGCTGATGTGTTAGATTGGTCCCTCGTTAGCTTTAAGTTGTGTCACATCATCATCCATTAATTTTGTTAACTTATATTTAACAGAAAGGACCAATCTGACCCACTATTTTAAAAGTTAGGACTAATTCAAAACACTTTTATAAGGAGGGACTAAATTGAGATTTTTCAACCAAAGTGAGGACTAAATTGGCTATTAAACCTTTTAAGAAAGATAGGACGGACTTGAACATTGTCCCCCTAAAGAGGGACCAAAAGAGGTATTAGCCTATATATATATATATATATATATATATATATATATATATATATATATATATATATATATATATATATATATATATATATATATATATTTTATTTTTTTTATGCCTTCAAAGCTGGCCGTATGAAAATAAATAAATAAATGAAGTGTGTTTTCTATCCTCTTTTATTATTAACACCAAATCGTTTTCATGTTCCGAATTGATTTGTTCCTTTCTTGACCATTCTCTCTATTTATTTCTTTGCTATTTAATTAGGTAATTGAATAATGATGATCTCTCTTATTTATTTTGATAAACTTGTGCTGGCTGGCAATGAAGGAAGCTTCAGATTAAAATTTTACACCAAACATATTCAAAGCTCTATCTGTGTAATACATGCGACGACTTTAACACAAGTCTTTCCTTCCACCTCTCTGCACGCCACGCTCACGTGGAGACAAATTAATTATTATCACACATCCTTACAACTTGTCATAAATGATATATCGGACTACTATTTTCCCTTCTATAATAAATACTTTGATATCTTCATACAATATATTAACCATTAGTATGTACTGATTAAAAAAAGTAAATTAAAAATAAAAACTATATCTACAAGCACCTAAAAAGAATGGCAATGCCCGATCATACTAAGCAAAAGCAAGTCAACGCTTGTTTTCTATAATTAAACCAAGATTTAAAAATGAAGAATTCAAAATGCAGTTTAGACCAAGTCATACTTTTCAGAATACACACACGTTGATTATAAAAATCAAGATCACAGATTGACAAATTAACCGCCACCAAATTTTATTAACAGACATCGGAAAATGAAATTAATTAAGGCACTGGCTGGAGATAATTAATCCTGTGGATTCAGCAATCTCACATAAGTGCTTGATATAATTTCACAACGGGAAAAAGTTTCTTATGGCACCAGAAATTAAACTACATATATGGCAGATAATAGAACATAGTAATGTAGCTATCAGACATGGCTCTCTTCCATTTGAACATCTTTGGCCTTCAAAGGCTCATACTCTCCGTAGTACACTTCAAGGTGATCAGACAAAGCGGATTTATCGATATTCTGATGGTGGTAGGACTTGCAAACGAAATAGAGCACCGTTTGGATCACGAGTTGGAACAGATACAACTGAGAGAACAGCACCAGACACACTATCCCATAAAGTGTTCTGTCCACCGACCCTAACCTCCACCCATGCACCACCGTTTTCTTGAACAGAAATTGTATCAACCCAAAGGAAACCAACAGCTTCAAGAATATGAGTACCGATAAACCCGTCTTCCCCCTTATCAACGCGTTGCTCTTCAACATGGCTCCAATCCCACACGAGTCTTCCAACACAGTAACAACAGTGGCAAGATTCCAAACCACGGTTAAGTAGACAAACCCTGCGAAATAGAAGACCGCCAACACCACAAAAAGCCCAACTCCGCCGCTCCTTCCCCCAGTTGTAAGTGCCCATATGACGATGACAAGCACTGCCATGACGTTGTAGGCGAAAAAGGCTGCGAAGGTGCACAGAAAGGTTACCATGAGTCTCTTCCAAACCTTGGGAACGACGGTCATGACCTTGGAGAAAGTGACCTCTCTTGCGGTGTAGATTGAGGCGATGGTGTATACCACTGCAGAGGTGGAGAGGAGGGAGAAGATGAGGAGGAAAGTGAAGTAGATGAGCTTGAAGAGCATGAAGGTGGTCCATTCCGAAGAGAGCATGTTGGAGAAGGTGTGGTATTGGGGTGTGACTTGTGGGGTTTCCATCATTTGTTGTGTATTTTTGACGATCTTGCCGAAGAGGATGTTGGAGACTTCGATGTGGATGAGGAAGATGAAGGAGAGAGGGAGGATTAGAGTTAGGGTGATCTTGCTGAAGATCTTTCTCCATGCAAATATGATTTTGTAGGATTCTCTGTAGACGCCAGAGAACCCCAGGAACTGCATCTCTTCTTGTTCTCTGTCCATAGCTCTCTCTCTGTATTCTCCAATGGAGTTTTGGTTTTGGTTTGGTGGGGGTGATATGGGTTCAGAATATATGAGGAAACGCTTTGCAAGAATCTGACTAAGGCTGGAATTTGACTCGTTGCTCTTCACCCACATTATCGTTCTATGTGCTATTATTTGAAAGCAATCAAGTCAACGATTAATTTGTGTTTTCTTTTATCGGTACAATGATCGGTCAGATGCATATTCAATTTAAAAAAATAAAAAATAAAAATCCAACGAATGAAAAACCCAATAAATAATAAAATATTATTAGATTGCATCATATTTTGAAAACAATTCAATCCATTGAAAGAAAATATATAAATATGAATTTAATGAATGTGTGTGTGTATATATTCGAAATGATCTTTATTTTAAAAGTTTTATTACTTACTATTGACATAAATTATATTCTAATATTTATATAAATAAAATCAGGAGCACTTTGGATATTAGTAGTTATTCATGTGTTGTATAGTATGATTTTTCTATGGGTTCAACATTATAATATTACTTTTTTGCAAGATTTTTGCAAATGACATTTCTTTTTATTAGTGATAAGAAAGTATTTGATTTTACTTTTTCTCGTAACATTAATTCGATAAGAAAGAAAAAATTCTATTTTTTTATGTAGTTCAGATTTAAATTCGATTTATGCGAATTGAACGTGGTCGGTTGGTTCATCAATCCACTTATCTAATTTTATTTTAATTTTATAAAAAAATATTTATTATATTTTTGTTTGAAAAAATTATTTTAATTCTTTATTTTAAAAATTAATTAAACATTTAAAATTTGTAAATTTTTTTTATTTTAAAAAAATTATAATTAAGTGGTAGATCGGTTGGACCAGTTAACCTATTTTCACAACTCTCATTTTACACGTACTTTTAAAATTGTTTAATAAAATATATTAATATCTTTAGGTGAGTGTCCTACCAAGGCACGTCAAAAGATTTATCTACAAACACAACAAAAAAAAATGAATCTAATAAATACTTTTGTTTTTATTTTCATAGCTAATAACCTTAAGCAGCCAAAAAAGCGAAAGCAACTTCAGACAGAGGAATGGCATGTTTGTAATTGTAGTGAAAATGGAGGGGGTTTCCACTTGATCGTTGTATTTTGGCCATAATGGATTAAATAATTATTTTATAATCGTTAACGTTACGGCCAAGCCGTGACGAAAACTACGAATGAGAATTTAATAAATAAAAATTCTTTGTTAATAATAAATATTGCTTTTGTTTTTGTCCTTCTTCATCAAGCTTCTTTTTCTTGGACAATTAGGGTCTCGACAAAGAATCGAGAGCATTTGCCACAATTTTTACGCTTCGATAACAGTGTTCTTTGTTTGTACCAAAACTATTTTTTCCAATATAAATATATAATATCTTATTATCACTAGTTTAACATTTTTTAAAAGTTTGAGTGTAAAATAATTTTTTTTTTAACGTTTGATTGCACTTTTCAAAACACAAAATCATAATGAAATTTCAGTTTCTAAAACGTACTATACTTTAAAAATACAATAAATAACTTTACTATATTATTGAACAGATTTAAAATCAAAACATTGCCACCAGATGAATTTAAGATCAAAACTACTTATAATATAATTAAAATTTATTTGGTTAAATTCTTTTAACAATAACTTTTTGGGGTTTTTCCGTTAATTGAAAGAATAAAAATTCATCAAAAATTAACTTTATTACTTATGCTTGAATGAATTTACACCACTAGTGAGTGCGCTTAGCAATTG